ACTGAGGGGGTTCAGGCCGATGCAGAACAATCCCCATTGAGTTCCTGATGAAGGCTCTTAGGGTCCTGTTGATCTTGTATAGTTCTAGGCATTCCAGGATCCAAGTGTGGGACATTGAGTCATCGGCCTTCTTGTAATCTATTCTTCTAGTCTTCTCTTAAATTCATTAGCCAATGAGCTTTGCTACCCATATGCTCTTCCAGTATTGTTCCGTCTCCAGCCTTGGTGGTGCTGCTCTCATATTGTTCCCTTGCCACTGAAAGTACACCTTGGCTGGTTCTGTGGAGAACAGCTACTTTATTCTCTGCCTTCTATCTCTCTGGTTTACCTCTTCAAGCAGCTGGCCAAAGTTGTGAGTCTTTTCTTGGCAGTTTCCAAAGTGTTAGGTATGGACAGCTCGCTGTACTTAAGTACCTCCCTGCATGCAGTTCTGATAGTTGGCTAACCACTCTCCTTCTCCAATGGAGGGTACTGCTCCTTGTGGATGTTCAACTTGTAGCCAAGCATCTCATTGATCACTGCTGCTGTAGTGTAGATTAGCTTGTTTGTCTCAGTATATATCTTAATCCTGTATTATGTATATATGTGTGTGAGAGAGAACCTAGCATCCTAGTAGGGAAACCTTCAGGTATTTATTTACCTTTGCTCTCCAGCTCAATAATGTAGTAGAGTTGATAATAAGACTTCGACTGTATCAAAACCACACACTGCATTTTCAATACCTCTTGGCCTTTTACATTTAAAGCCTATTTTGATAAGTTGTGTAATCAGATTTAAAGTTCCTCCTTGACTGTCATACATTCAGTTCAGCATCATTATCAAGCCTCTTTTTGATTCTTTCAATGGGATGGTGTCAACAGCGAGCAGAGCAGAGCTTTGTCAGACCACGCTGCAATGGCTGGATCGTCACTGCTCGCTTCCAGCACTCAGACCCAGTAAGTAAAATAACCGACATGCTCTGACATACAAGTGGGGGGAAAAGTCCTTTACGTCTTCATTCCACCTACTGTTTGCAAGAGAAGTGGATCAGCACTTTTGGATGATTTTTTGACCCCAAAGGGACTTTCTTCCATCTGCACAGCTTTGACTATGCCCTATCTTTCACCATCTCTGTATATTCCTGCCTTTTAATCAGAAATCACACAACCATGACACAACAGGAAATTCAACATTGTAGCACAGTTTTTGAACGATGATAACTCACTTGAGGGGTAATCACAGTAACTTTGTTGTAATTACAATGAGTGCATCTGATTATTACATAGCATTTTCTTCCACTAAAAATGCTACGTCCTGATGAACAGAGACAACCTTTTGAGATTTGTGACATGGCGTGTTATGCTGTTGGAAGCAGTCTTAAGAAGATGGGTACACAGAGGTCACAACAGTCTTATAAACAGCATGACAGCATCACAACACACAGAACAGCAAGACAACGCAAAGTGCCTTAAGTGCCAACAGCAGACAGACAGATGAAAGATGAAGACAAACATACCCACACTTGTCAGGGCTGAGGCTCCTTTATATTGAGAGGCATCTACGGCTTCTCCTCTTTTTGTTATGTAAGCTCCCAAAATTTGACTTTAATTTCCACTTTGATTCAATTTTTCCCAATTTGTGTGAAATCATTCTCTTTAAAAACAGTTACACATTAGATGTATTTATTCATGTCTTACTTTGATCAATGTGTCAGTTTACACAACTTTCCCAGACCTCATCGTCCATCATCTTTATAGCTCATTTTGACAGCTTTATGGCCAAGGTCAGGTTAAAGCGTCAGGATCATGGTTGTTATGCCAGCTTTGCAGCAAAATGCAATTAGTGCTCCTTGATATTTTTATGGCTTTAAAGGAGTTGTAATGCCAAAGTTATCAATTTCACTAATTTATGGTAACTTCAGACTTCAGTTTGGGCTGTCAAAGCTATAATCTACCAATATGTCACAAACCTGACCTAAGTATACTGGTCACAAATAATTTGTGTATGTTTCGACTGCTTAACATGGGCACTCCCTAAAATATAAAGCACTGTAGTACAAGTATATAGTGTATACCAGTATTTATCATTTCAGAGTCTACATGCCATGAGAAACATCCCCTGCAGGTAGACATAGTCAGCAACGATACTAATGGAGGCTAAGAAGTTTAAATGATGCTCAAATGGTAGTAAGGGGCCCAAAGTGTGCCAAGAATATGTCTACAACATCCCCATCATTAGACCACAACTGATCCATTGGAGCAAGGCAGGACATGAAGCTGGTTTTCTTGTTGTTTGTACCAAATTCTGACCCTACTGTAAAAATACTGCAGCAGAAATCAAGATGCATCACGCCAGGCAACATTTTTCTCTAGTTTGTCCAGTTTTTGTGAGAGTCTTTGTGAACCGTAGCCTCAGTTTCCTGTTAGCTGACAGAAGTGGCACTACATATGATCTTCTGCTGCTGGAGTTCATCTGCTTCAAAAGTGCTGCATACATCGGCTATAACCAGTGGCTGTATAAATTACTTTTGCTTTTCAATCAGCTCACAGCAGATTGGTCATTCTCTTCTGACCTCTGGCATCAACAAGCGGCTCACTCTCTGTAGTATTTTATAGTTTTTTCTCTGTATGAGATGGTTGGTTAGAGGCAAATCCCAACGGTTTTTGTGATATTAACACCAGTTAGTGTGGCACCAATGACCATGTCACATTCAAAGTGACTTAAAATCACCTTCTTTATGCTGATGCTTGATTTGAATTTGAGCAGGTCATGCAGTCAACCAAAACTCAGATTAAATCAGAGCAAACTACATGCGGCTCTAAATGGAAAGCACACGGGCATCTGTTTGTGCAAATATCAATCATTTGTTTTAATGCAATTCATTTGGGCTTGTTTTTCAGTGGTCCTAAGTACTCTTCGCCAGCTGTGCACTACCACGTCCATTCTCAGCGATCCATCCGTGCTCCCTGAAGAAGCCATCCAGGCCGTAACACAAACAAACTCTTAGATTCCTCCTGGAAGTGACCCAGAAGCCACCTGAACTTTTTTTTTTAACCATCATAACATATCACTGGTTTGCCTTGTAGCCTTTCAGCAAGCTCAGTCTTCCACAAATCCCAGAAAAGAGACTATGTTTGACTTTTGGGAACGAGACACATGGTGCACCAAACAAAATGAGTGCAAAAATGACTTTTTAATCATATTTAAATAGAAGTAACTATGACTATCTTTAACTTTCAGATGATTTTCCTCTTTTAGTGTATTAGAAGCTGGCCCATGTTGTTTTTATGTCTTGAAAGCAACAACTTGTATTTAAATTTAAGTTACATTTAAAAAATGTTAAGTCGCAAGATTGTGTTTCAAAAAGGGAAATGCTGAATGTGAAGTTTGTTCTCTTATGCAGTATAAGGACATCATTTCTTTCCTTTCACAAGATTATCAGATGTTTTTTGTTTTGTTTTGTTTTTTTTAATCTAGCTAGAAGTACAATTTATTTTATTTGGAGGTTCAAACGCCTCCCATTGAGGAGATTGAAATATATTAAAGTTGAATACTTATATGTTGGAATTTGCCTGTCCTGTTCTGTTCACCGTCCCTTGTTTACTCAGGTGAATGTTATCTTGTTCATAGCAGTTTTTTTCCGTCCCTGCTCTGCCCATTTCTACTGAGCTCACCTGCAAACAACACAAGGATGAACGTTGCAGGCCGCAGCACGACATTACTGTCAGCGCCCACAAGACGCGTAACTGAACTAGCAGTACAGATTTTGCATACACTACTGTATATTCCCGCATCTACAGTGTTACAGGATCTTCAGTGTGCAGTAGGGGTCTTTCTGGTTCTTTACTGATCACTCAGGGCTACGCTAATCATCTAAGAACAAGTCGAGCCAGGATCCTTCTCAGCAGGAACACGTACTGTCTGTAAGGGTACAGGTTTCACTTATATGCTGTTTCTTTCCTTCTCACGGGTACACGTGTTCAAAGCAAACACAGATAAAAAGCAATGCATTGGAGGAAGCGCAAAGAAACACACCCAAAGCCATATCCAAGAGTATTCTCAGTCTGTTGTGTTACTGGCATAATGTTTTTATGGAGTACTCTGCTTTGTGGAGAGCTTGAGGGTTAGACACTGTGAGTGCAGCTGGCAGCCTTGAGGTCAAAGTGTGCCTGCATGTGATCTTTGCCAGCGGATTCGTCTCTTTATCTTCTTTTGTGGTTCAGCACTCCTCAGGCAGATGTTGTGAGTTTGTTTTTTTTCTTTTATTGTGCAGAACAACTGAGTTTACAGTAGCACAACGCACCATGTTTAATAGATGAATGTGCAGCTTTTTGTTTGTGCAGTTCTTGTCTTTTTTTTATTTATGATTGGATTGCACGAGTCTTTTATAGGGGAAGTTGTGCTCTTGTGTTCCTCTGTAGGCTGCTCAGTTCACAAAAAATGGAGAATGCAGTGATGAACACTTAAATGAACAGTTTGGTGTTGCGAGTCAAATATATAGAGTTCAGATATGATTTACTACTATTTGATGATGAAGATGCACCTCTGAATGCAGCTAGGCTTTCTCTTTAAATAGTTTTGTAGTTGTTTCTCCTCTTTTGAGGATCTCTCTGCCGTTTCTCTCCTGTATTACACCGTTTTCTTTCCTTCTCTCTCTCTAGTGATCTTTACTTTTGTGTTTCTTTGTGTGGATTTGTTTTGGATGATGTACAGGATGACGCAGATTGGATCTGCTTATGTTCGACTCCCCACATTTAGTATTGTATTGTTGGTTTTATGAAGAAAAGATATTTTCTTATGCTGGATACGACTGTTTCTTTGTGCTCTTCCCAAATGTCTACATGTAACATGATGGAAAATGCCTTAAATGATTCAGAATCACAATAAATACAGCAAAACTGAAAACTTTGTCTTCTCATCACTTTAATTTCAATACAAAACATTTGCTCAATAGAATCCATGACCAGGTATCAGATTTAACTAAATATTTTCAATAAAAGAGAACATTAGTAGCCGACCAATCAGTAAATTCTAAACGTAGCTTTGCCGAGCCATTCGTCCACAAGCTCCAGCAAGCACTTGGTGTACACATAGCTGTCCAAGTCCTGCTTGAAGGAGGGTAGTCTGCATGTGTGGGAGACCGTATTGCCGGTCCAGAGATGCACCACATCACGTATGATCTGGCAGATGTAGTGCAGCTGTGACGACAGCTCCGGGGTGAACTTTGACACCTTTGCCATGTAGCACTCGAAGGAGCTTAGCTGGTGAGCGGTGAGGTGCCGCTGCTCCGGCTTGATCAGCTCTGAAATGTTCAGGGTGAAGCAGGTGATGTTGGGAAGCAGTCCAAAAGCATCCTGCAGGAGAATCCATGAACATACAACTCAGTAACTACTCATCGCTGTTTGTGTGAAACTGATGATGTGTTGTTATTTTTGTAACACAAACGCATGCAAATGATCCACAGAAGAATTTGAAACTGACAGACGGTTCAAATACAGCTCTTAATTCATCACTTTCAGTCCCAGGAAGAGTTTATTATGCCTTTCTTTGTTTTAAGTTAAGTTAAGTTAAAGTTATAATGTTTAAAAAATTTTTTAAACCAGCTGCTAAAAATAGAGCAAAAGTCTTGATAATGCCTTTAATGCATCAACATACACTCATGGTCTGTGGTGTCACCAGCTCCTCATGTCCATATAATCAGGGGAGCACAGCCTACAACTGGTATTGCTTGTAACATTCTAATACCAGTGTATGCACCTCAAATAACCTGATATGACTATAAAAGCTTTAATTTACTAAACCAGTGGTGGACTACCTATAACCTCTCTTTAAAACACAGTTTACCAGCTCAGTTTAGTTTCAGCAGAGACAGAATCAAGTTAAAAACATCAGTTTCTTTTATAAAGTCTAAATTCTTCCCTCATTATGTAATACTAATGATCTTTGTAAGCCTCAGAAGCCTTACCAAGTGCTCCAGCGCGCTACGTATCTTCACCCTAATCATCCGGATGCTGGCATTCAAGGCACGCTCGGCTGCCCTGTTTCCAACAGCCTCACAGTTTGCTTTCACAGCCAGCAGGCAGAAGAAGATAAGGACTGCTGCAGCAGCATGAAAGGGAACACAGTGGAGATTAATTAGATTGATTACACTGAGCAAGTTTGCCGACCAAAAACTCGAGTCGAGCTGCAGCCTGCTTTCAAATGACACAGCCTCACTTCAGGATGCTTACCAGCACGGAAATTCATGACAGCAGGAGGCTTTGGTTGACTGCAGGCTCTGATGAGATGCTGTGGTCCATCTTTCAAGGACCACTTTTATTGAGGCTTTTCAGAGAAAGATCATTCTTTTCCTTTGGGTGTGGCTTTCAGAGCAAGAATTTTAGGAGTCAGTGTTTTTCTGCTGGGGCTTTCCTTTGTAAAGAAATTTCTTCAAAAGAAAACACAAAACATCGACACTTCCCGTAACAGGTAGTCAACCAAAACAGATTAAATCTGTAATAACTGGACAAAACAAGAAAAGTGTACAAACAAGAATTAAAGGTGGCTACCTTTGTGCTTTACCCTCGTTTAATCTTATTTCCTGTGATCTCTCATGTAAAATCAAATAAGTAACTCTTTAAAAAAATGCCAAAACTGTTTCAGGGTTAGCTAGAATGCAATTTTTTTCTATCTTTGACCTTTACCATTGTCCTTTAAGGCCAGCGTATGATTCTCAGCTGCTACGAAGAGGCCCAAATTGTGGCAAGAACCTATCCCCACATCATCACATCACCAAAAGCCAGATACAAAGCAGGATGAATCCACCAAATCCTGACCCTACCATCTGGATCCTGCAACTCAAGACTCATCAGACCAGCGTTTTTTCCAGTCTCCTATTGTCCAGTTTTGGTGAGCCTGTATGAATTGTTGCCTAAGTTTCCTGTTCGCAGCTGACAGGACTGGCACACAGTACAGTCTTCTGCTTATGTAGGCCATCTGCTTCAAAGGGAAGGGAAGGGAAGGAGCCTGAGCTAATGTGTGAGGCTGAGAGGTACTGGCTAAATATAGTCGGGCTCACCTCAATACACGGTTTGGGCTCCGGAACCAGTCTCCTGGAGAGGGGCTGATCTCTGTCTCAGCCTGGAGTTGCCCTTGGTGACAGGTGGCAGGCTGGGGTGGGTGTTTTATCTTAGTGTCCCCTCAGCTTGCTCCCTTACATTGGAGTTTTTCCTGGTGGACGCAAGGATTTGTTCCCTGGACCCATGCGCTGAATGACAGTTCAGAGTAGTGGGTGCTCCACCTGACGACTCCACCTGTCGTCTTATTGGGAGACTTCACCACTCAAGTCCTATCGGGCTGGGTTAGCCTGTGGGACTTCGGAGGCAGCCGATTCAGGAGGAACAATGCGGTTTTTGTCCTGGTTGTGGAACACTGGATAAACTTTTTAACCTCTTGAGGATACTTAAGGGTGCATGTGAGTTTGCCCAACCAGTCTGCATGTGTTTTGTGGACTTGGAGAAGGCATGTATGGGGTCTCAGGCCCATTGCTACGAGCCATTCGATCCATATACAATTGTTGCAAGAGCTTGGTCTGCATAGCCAGCAATAAGTTGGGTCCCAAGGGTGGCTAGCCCTTCCCTTATAGATATATATAGGGTGAGGAGTTTGGCCATCTGGCAGGGGCTCAGAGTAAAGCCACTACTCCTCTACATCGAAAGGAACCAATTGAGGTGGTTCAAGCATTTGACATCCCCACACTCGTGAACAAGACCCTGAGATACTTAAACTCCTCCACTTGGGGCAGTTACTCGTCCCTGACTCGGAGTGGGCAGTCCACCCTTTTCTGGCTGAGGACCGTGGCCTCAGACTTGGAGGTGCTTATTCTCATTCACACCGTTTCTCACTCGGCTGTGAACTGCTCCAGAGCGAGCTGGAGGCCACCACCTGATGAAGCCAACAGAACCATATCAGATATCAAAAGTAGAGATGAGATCCTGACACCATCTAAGTGGTAGCCATGTGTAGTTAGTCCCTGTATTGTTGAGGGGTGAATTAAAAATAGATTTAATTTTTAATCATTCGTGCTCCAGTCTGTGTCCTTTGGCTAAGTTGCACTGCTCTCTCTTGGCAGAAGAAAAAGCAAAATTACTTTTTAAAAAATATCATATTTAGATAAAAGTAACTATCATTACATCGAAAGCTGATCCTTATTGTTTATTTGTCTGGCAGAAGAATATTTAACTTCATTTAATATATTTAACTACCTGTGCTTTCTAAAAGTATTTATATAAAACTTTGATTTTGGTTGTTTTAGATCTTTTAGTCTTAATATAAAGATTTTTAGTGTGTTGTGTACATTTCTAATGTGCTGCCAGACTTGTTTGCTGGACTAAAAGAGTGGTTAACTGACCAAACTGAGTAATGATGACTGGATAAGTCAGCCTGCAGCTGGAAGCTGGTGGCTTAGGGCCACTTGGTGGCTGTAATGTGGAACTACAGGCTGACAGCTGATTACATCTGCACAATACACTGGGCAGATGCTGGAGTCTTGTGGAGCTCATAGGAAGTGATATCAGACGGGAACTGTGCAGAAGAAGGACAGCTCATTTCCTGTGGGTCTGGCTGCTGTTTGAGAATGAGAAGAGATCAGGAAACAGCCTGCTGGACAGTTACAAGGACTGGACTGTGCTGTAACTCTGTGGACTGGGCTTTTGTTTTTATTTTGCTGTATTCAGGTACCTGTGTAGTGTACTTTGTCAATGGAATTTCCCCCCAGTTCTTAAAGAGTGTAATAACTATTTTTATTATTTTTAATCATCCATCAATTCACTTTCTTATCCGGGACCGGGTTACAGAGGCAGCAGCCTAAGCAGAGAAGCCCAGACTTCCCTCTTCCCATCTTCCTCCTCTAGATTTTCCAGGGAAACACCAAGATGTTTTCAGGCCAGCAGAGAGATATAATCTCTCCAGGGTGACCTGGGTCTCCCTGGGGCCTCCTGCCGGTGGGACATGCCCGGAATACCTCACCCAGGCAGCATCCTTTTCATATGCCCGAACCTCCTCACCTGGCTCCTTTTATTGTGGAGGAGTAGTGGCTCTACTCTGAGCCCTTCTTAATGATTATATTCCTCGTTCTATCTATAGGGGAGAGGCCATCCACCCTTCAGAGAAATGTCATTTCTGATGCTTGTATCAGCGATCTCATTCATAGATCGACTGGTAAATTGAGAGCTTTTTCACGGTCAGCTCTCTCTAGGTACTACGGCAGACTGGTACAGTGTCCACATCACTGCAGCCGCAGCACCAATACGTCTACTGTGCTCTTGCTCCCCTCACTCATGAACAAGACCCTGAGATACTTAAACTCCTCCACTTGGGGCAGTAACTCATCCCTGACTCGGAGTAGGCAGTCCACCCTTTTCCAAGGCTGAGGACCGTGGTCTCAGACTTGGAGGTACTAATTCTCATGACCACCTTCTCACACACGGCCATGAACCGCTTCACTGCAAGCTGTAGGGCACCACCTGATGAAGCCAACAGAACCACATCATCTGCAAAAAGCAGAGACGAGATCCTGACACCACCTAAGTGGAAACCTTCTATAGTTTGTTCCTGTAATAAATACATTTTTAATAAACAATTTAAAATGTATTTATTTTTTATTCATTATCGCTCCAGTCTCTGTCCTTTGGCTAACTTGTAGTGCTTGCTCTCTGCCTACCTAAGATTTAGATGCAGAGTTCCTAGCCTCTGTAAAACATGGCACTGAAAAATAAGCAGAAAGTTTAATCGAGGCCTTTTACAGGATTAAGAGCAGCGATCATTGCCCAGACCTGAGACACAAAATATAATGAGGATATTAGTATATCTTGGTAGACCTTATATGCCTAATTTAAGGGCCAGGTGGGGATATCGGGGTGAAAGGAACAGATTTAAGGAAGTCTTAAGGATTTTAAGATGGTAAGACTTGTGTGCGCTGGGGCCTCTTGGAGACTAAGGTGAAATGTTCTGTTTGGAGGATTCAGGGTTAGAAAGAAAAGAGTGCTGCAAATGTTGCTCACTAGTTCAAGTGGTCACCTTTATTGAGGTTTGAGGTATGCAGGTGATGCTATATGAGCTTTAGGCCCAGGACTGTTACAGGGGCAAGGATAGGAGGGAGCTCAAACTTAGCTGAGGCTAAGCTTGGCAGGACTTCATAGCTATGCTAATAACACTGAGATTATTTAGGTGACCTGGATTTGACTGTATATTTGTGAAGATTGAGCTTGCCTTTGCTGATGTGAGTCATGAGCCTGAAGGGTGGGTCAGGGACCACCACCCCAATTTTTTTTGCTTATGCGTTTGCCAGACACAAGCTGGCAAAAGTTGTTACGTGCACGAAAAAAGTTTGACCTTAATCTTTGACTTTAACGGCTCATGTATCCAAGCTGATGCATGACCTTTTGAGACTTTTACATCATCAGTGTGATTTTTTTCCCTGTTAGAAAAAACTAAATCAATTACAAAATATATTTTTATGCAGTAAACTCACAAAAGCCACATA